CGATAGACTAGCTTTTACCCGCGACTCCGTCCGCGTGGAATAGTTACTTTGGCATAACGCTAAATTTTACCCCCAACTTCATTTACGTAGAAAGTGAAAATATTTTTGAATTATAGAATGTTAAGGAGCTACTGAAACCCCTATTTTGAAACATTCTTTATTGGTGCTCCTAGTATATGGTGATGTTATATAACACATAGCCTTCCTCAATAGATTACCTATCTAACACTGAAAGAATTTTTCAAATCGGACCACTAGTTCCTGAGATTAGCCCGTTCAAACAAACAAACTCTTCAGCTTTATAATATTAGTATAGATTTAGGCAAGGCTCTTGAGCACTAGCCCTTGGTCTATTTATATGGTAAACTGTAATCCAAGATACGGCAGGCGGTCACGCTATTCTATCTTTCAATTCCGGCGACAATTCATCACCAGGTCGTCCGCAAATCTAGCCACCAAAGCCGAAACTAAAAAACAAAAATAAAATAAAATGTTCTCGGCGCCTGCCCTAATGAATTCACTGCATACACACTGTCCCATTGAAATCGTGCAGTTTCCATAACTCTATTGTAATACGTACGTCCAAGTCTCTGACTACGAAGCCGACATTACAATTTTTGAACGATATCATTTATTAGTAAAATTTAAGTTTCAAGGGAAGTAATTTGAACAACAAACAAAATATGAACACGTGTTAAGGCGGTACATTGTATTAAATATTTTTTATTTTTTTTTATTTTTTTTGTTTTCGATTGACTCGGTGGTGCAGTAGTTAGCGCTCCTGACTGTTGCGCCGAGGGTTGTGGGTTCGATTCCCACATCTTTTTTTTTTATTACGAAGATGGGTGGACGAGCTCACAGCCCACCTGGTGTTAAATGGTTACTGGAGCCTATAGACATCTACGACGTAAATGCGCCACCCACCTTGAGATATAAGTTCTAAGGTCTCAAGTATAGTTACAACGGCTGCCCCACCCTTCAAACCGAAACGCATTGCTGCTTCACGGCAGAAATGGGCGGGGTGGTGGTACCTACCCGCGCGGACTCACAAGAGGTCCTACCACCAGTAAATGTGCAGCGAAGCGGGGCGAGTTCCGCTTGTCGTATATAAGTATGTTTGTCAGTCTCTGGTATCCATAACAAATCGAATCCTAAATTGGGGCCGGATAAGCAAGTATGATTTGGTCTCAGTTCTTTATTATTAATATTATTCATTACAGTCGAATTCGTGTTCGACCTAATCGATGGCAGTGACGATTTTACGACGATTTCAGACGATATTTCGACGAATAAATTCCGCGGCAACCGCATACTAGATGAGTCTAAAAAATAACGCTTAAAAATACATAGAAACACCACACCACAATTCAATAGACAATCGAACCTGTGGACGCAATCACGCGACTAGAATATGAGTGGCATAAACCCTAGATCTATGTATACAAATGCATTTTGCATAGGGTATGGCATGTTTCCATTGTTGCTGCCATGATTTTTCAGATCGTTACGTGAATTCTAGGGTCGTGAATTATTATTATTACTCTATTGCCTTATATTGGTCCTGGTAAGCAAGAAAGTTAGATTATTGACGCCGACACAGAAAAAGTGGCAATTTTCTGAAATCTATTCTAATATTATAAAGCTGAAGAGTTTGTTTGAACGCGCTAATCTCAGGAACTACTGGTCCGATTTGAAAAATTATTTCAGTGTTAGATAGCCCATTTATCGAGGAAGGCTATAGGCTTTATCATGCTAAGACCAATACAAGTGGAGCACCAATAAAGGATGTTTTAAAATATTTTCACTTTCTACGTAAATGAAGTGGGGGGGTAAAATTTAGCGTTATACCTAAGTAATTATTCCACGCGGACGGAGTCGCCGGCAAAACTAGTAATAAATATTTTAATACAAAATGTATATATATTTTTATTGCTTAGATGGGTGGACGAGCTCACAGCCCACCTGGTGTTAAGTGGTTATTGGAGCCCATAGACATCCACAACCTAAATGCGCCACCCACCTTGAGATATAAGTTCTAAGGTCTCAAGTATAGTTATAACGGCTGCCCTATCCTTCAAACCGAAACGCATTACTGCTTCACGGCAGAAATAGGCAGAGTGGTGGTACCCACCTTCGCAGACTCACAAGAGGTCCTACCACCAGTAATTACGAAAATTATAATTTTGCGGGTTTAATTTTTATTACACAATGTTATTTATTATGCCTTTATTACACGATTTTATTATTCCTACACCGTAGAAATAAATCGTGAACATTTGTTGAGTACGTATTTCATTAGGAAAATTGGTACCCGCCTGAGATTCGAACACCGGTGCATCGCTCAACACGAATGCACCGGGCTTCTTATCCGTTAGTTAGTTATGTCGTGCCAAAGATCGCAGCTTCTATTTTATCTTGCCCTGCTGTATTCCAAGCTCCTAGAAATAAATTTCCCTAACAACTTTCAAACATACATATCGACGCTTGAAAGGCAAACGTGACTAAGCGACAATAACTGCTTTATACATAAATGATAGACAATAACAATATTCGATGTGCAAAAAAAAAAATATTTCTAGGTCTATTAAAATCATTTCAATCCTACAGCTAGATTCGTTAAAATATAATTTTTTTTCAGGTATTTCAACTTTAAATTAGTCTACTGTAAAGTTCACGCATTGTCGCTTAGTCACGTTTGCCTTTCAAGCGTCGATATGTATTTATGCTGTTAATAAATTAAACTATAACGTATTACAATGGAAACAAGTATAGTGCTTCGACTGATGGTATTAAACGGTCAATATGCATTCACTTATATAGATGCGGATATAGATACACAACGTGCTATGTTTGTGTGTGTTCGATGCTTGTTTGTGTGCGTGCGTTTGGTCCGCATTGAACCGTATGTGATAATTAAATGGAAATATTCAATGAAAATTTAATTTCTATGAAAGCTAAATCAAATAGCTATTTATTTTGTACAATATGTATTTATTTTGTAATGGTGTGTACAATAATACGTTTAACACACTTTAATTAGGATGGTATTATGTTTAGTTTTTTTTGTAAGTAGCGGAATCTTTGACCGTCATTTTCTTCCACTTTAAGACGTACGATTAAGCAGAAAATTTGCACACATATCAAAGACCCTTAAATAATAGCTTCATAACTTCGCTCTAATATTCTGATCACCATCTACAGGATAAAAAAAGATAATCTTTAAATTTAAAAAGATAATTAAAAATAACTTCCATTTGCTAATTTTTATTTATTTATTTTTTATTGCTTAAATGGTTCGACGAGCTCACGGCCCACTTGGTGTTAAGTGGTTACCAGAGCCTATAGACATCTGCAAGGTTAATGCCGCCACCCACCTTGAAACATTAGTTGTAAGATCTAACTTTTAACACCACAACGGCTGCCCCGCCTTTCAAACTGCATTACTGCTTCACAACAGAAATAGGTAGGGTGGTGGTACCTACCCGTGCGGACTCAGAAGACGTCCTACCACCAGTAATTATGCAAATTATAATTTTGCGGGTTGGCTTTTTATTACACGATGTTATAAAAAAATTGATTGATTGATTCCTTCACAGTTGAAGTCAATCGAGAACATTTGTTAAGTACGTGTTTCATTGGAAAAATTGGTATCTGCCGGCGGGACTCGAACACCGATGCATCACTACATACGAATGCACCGGATGTCTTATCCTTTAGGCCACGACGGCTTTAATTGAGCGTGTTTATTTAGTTTTTGAACCAGAAATATTATTATTTTGATAAAATCCACCCTTTTTTATTACTCTGAACATTGACCGACACAGAAATAAATAAGGCTACATACAGCACCTACCCGTGTGAGCTTAGGATGTGGCATTCCACAGTTAATGTAAGTCAAGCAAGTCATTGCACATTACTGATTAAAATTCTTTGTGGCTTCACACGATCTACAGACACGCATATACAAATTTTAATTGAAATCAAATAAACATGCCGATATGCAATATTAGCGACGGTCTAAAATGTTGCATGACACATTCTTAGGCAATTAGAGCGTAGAGGCGGTAGGCCTGCCTGTACTGGTTCTAGCACTCAACTTAGAGCTGTCCACAGAGCTACACGGCTATACGGTACGATAAAAAACTAATCTGCTCACTCAGTTCGTTTAGTTTGATAATCTGTGCTCTTTGTAAATGTCAAATTGTGGCGGGATTTTAAGCGTTGTTCCGAATATTTTTTTCTGGAAGAATTGTGCGGTTTTTTTTCCAAGGTGAACGTGCGTTGTGATTGTGAATAATTATATTATTAAATAAAATAATTTGCAAAAGGATTTGGAACAATGTTGATTTCAATATTGATTTTTTTCCAATATGTCATAAAATTAATATCGATAGCAGGCTGTAGTCGTTAATTTTCGAGAAATATATATTAAATGATGTGTTATAAATTGCTGATGATATCAACGAGTTGATAGCATGCCTGGTCACCAGAATCCATAGATTAATACTATATTTACATATACTCACCAAAACATACTCTGTGCTCTAAAACAAATAAAGAAAAAAAATTTAGTCCTAGATAAAAACAGTATCTGCCTCACATCGATCTGGATTGTAGTGGTGAGGGTTTTTTTAACATAGTGCCACTTGGGTAATCTTAAAGGCAGCATCCGAAGGTCTCTTAGAGTGTCCTCTACTCTCCTCTACTCGTGTTCTACCACGTGTACTAACTACCACAGCGCATATGCCCATCCATGGCTTACCTCAGGAGCGACTGATTGTGGAGTTTGTAATAGCAGTTACCACGACGACCTCTTCGAAGTTTCAGAATTAAAATACATATCAATAAATACAATCTATGTAAATATTCTATAATTTGACGTTTATATAGACCTATTCACGGAAGATAGAATACGAATTCTGGATTTTAAAAAATTGTGCAAACAAAAAAAGTTCGAAATTTTTATTTAATTTTATAAATTAACATAGAAAAACTGTTGATATTTAAACCAAACTCCGGTGGAATAATGTAAATAAATAAGCAAGTCACGGGTAAAAACTAGTGTTCAGGCTTAACATTCCAGACGGTAGCTTAGCGGACTAATCAAATTAGGCTTAATTAAATTATACGGGCCGCATCGTCACTCGTCACGCGATCACGTAAATAGGTTATCGTCAACTTGTTGTTGTGTGGCTGTATGTTAATTCGTGTCCTTAGTTTTTAATGAAAAAAAAAAATTCGGTGTCTGGAATCGAATTCGGAATGCCTACGTGACATTGACAGTCGAGGTAAGCTACTCTTAAAATTCATATTGAGTTTAAAAAAACTCTTGGCCTGCAACTGCCATAGTCAATGGCAGGACTACAAGAATTTAGGAAGACGGGTTGGGCTATTACTATGGTACACGCCAAGCATGATTGCTTGTAGTCTATTTTAATTTAATTTAGTTAATTTTATTAAAATCGTGCGAGCGAGATAGAAAGCGAGTGTTAGTCTCTTCTAGTTTTACATAGACCACCTGTGTGTGAATTTGAAGAAAATTGAATGCTGTCTTTAAGTTAATTAGGACCAATTGTTTCCATTTATCATATCTTTTAAACTAAATAACCTTTACGATAAGTAACGGTTACCACTCACCATCAGATGGGTCGAATACTCATCTGTACTCAACGACAAAAAAATTCCGTAAAAAAAAAAAACAAGAAAAATAATAATGTTTGTCCTTTTTAGGTGAATTGAAAATCAGTAACTGTCCAAAAAGTGACAAGAACCGATCACCTATCACCGAATTGAAGAAGTGACATAAATAAGGTATGTTTTTGGAATGTATTTTATATTTTTTTGAAGTAAGATTGCTCCTCTATAAACTTTACACTCTGATTGACTTTGATAATGACTTGATTCCTATTTTAAAATTAATAGATTTATTATTTTATGATAAACAAGCTAACCTTAGATCTCCTTAGAGTGATCTAACTAGATTTAAAATTATTTTCTATTTTCATTTCGACTATTTTTTTATTTATTGCTTAGGTGGGTGGACGAGCTCACAGCCCACCTGGTGTTAAGTGGTTACTGGAGCCTATAGATATCCACAACGTAAATGCGCCACCCACCTTGAGATATAAGTTCTAAGGTCTCAAGTATAGTTACAACGGCTGCCCCACCCTTCAAACCGAAACGCATTACTGCTTCACGGTAGAAGTAGGCAGGGTCGTGATACCCACCCGCGCGGACTTATAAGAGGTCCTACCACCAGTAATTACGCACATTATAATTTTGCGAGTTTGATTTTTACTAACTAGCATAGTAACGAATAACAGCGTGTTTTCTTTGGTTTCTTAAACTATACTTAGGTATTTATTACTAGACAAAAACACAACACAACACAATACCAAATTTCTTCTGCGAAGCCAATACATTCGGATGTAACGAGTGGAAAGTCTTTGATGCAAACTTTATTGGGACTTCGCCTGATGAAATAAGGTGGTGGAACTCTGTGGCCATGTCTATACGGACACGGACAGCATTTTCATTATGGGTTTTATATGAACATGAATAATGATAGAGTAATAAGCAAAATTTCTAGAAAAATCGCCTTTATTTTCGCGTAATTTATCGCCTATATCTAATATCGCCTAACTTTATTTTTATTATTGCCTTTTAAGTCAGACGAGTACGCGGCCCACCTGATGGTAAGTGGTTACTGTCGCTCAAGTATGTCAGCAACCCCAGTGGCATAGCCAAGTTACCATTGAGTACTCTCTATAAGCCTCGTTTGAAGAAGGACATGTGATAGCGCTCGGGAAACGCGACGTCGACCTATTAATGTTCTTAAAACAAACACATTGCGCGCTCCTGGTAGCGGCATCCAAAGTTCAAGTCACCGTTTACTGGTGGTAGGACCTCTTGTGAGTCCGCGCGGTACCTACCAGCACCCTGCCTATTTCTGCCGTGAAGCAGTAATGCGTTTCGGTTTGAAGGGTGGGGCAGCCGTTGTAACTATACTTGAGACCTTAAAAGCTATATCTCAAGGTGGGTGGCGCATTTACGTCGTAGATATCTATGGGCTCCAGTAACCACTTAACACCAGGTGGGCTGTGAGCTCGTCCACCCATCTAAGCAATAAAAAAAACCGTACCGTCGTAAACGCCAGAGAGTTCAACGTTCAACTAGCCCAAAGCATCAACCCACTGAGTTTCTCGCTGGATCTTCTCAGCGGGGCGCGATCTCGATCCGGTAGTAGGTGCATTGGCGAAATAGCTGTCGTTGTGCTATTAGGTCATCTCTCAAGGCGCTCGGGCAACTGTTAGCATATCCCACACCACCGGGCTGCTCGCCCACCTGTTTAGATGATACGGGAAAGATCGCTGGACCACAAAGAAATCGTCCATCCTTCTTCTTCTTCTTCTTCTTCCTCGTCCTCTTCGTCCAGTGCCAAGGTCCGCTTTCCTAATGAAACTCCTCCACTTTGCCCGGTTTTCGGCATCCTTCTGGAAGAGGTAATTGTCCTCCACATCCAACCAGCGTTTCTTAGGCCTGCCATATCCAACCAGCGTTTCTTGGGCCCACCGCGCGATCTTGGACCTGGTGCGTAGAGGTTGAGGCATCTATTTTCGACGTGGTAGACCTGCAGCTTATAACTATTATTTTTATAACAAAAAAAAGAGGAAACATATTGGACAACATTTTTCTTAGTTCAAAATTCCTTATTCGTCTGGAATACAAAAAAGTTTTGTGTTTTCATCAACAACAAATAATTATCTGTCGTTTCTTGTTTAAGTTAATCTTTACATTTTTCCTCGGAGTATTTTTTTAAAGGAATACGTTCTGTGAATAAAACAAAGACTTAATGCGGATCAGCTTTATTCATTTTGTTTACGTTCGCATTAGAAATTAGATTATTAAGAATCGTGTTTTAAAAAATAAAAAAAAACCGCCTCTAAAATTACAGTTTTATGAATTTTGAAAATTCATAACTCTCACTGTGTGTTTACATTTCACTACATTTCACATATACCTTTGCGTGCGTCCGGTCATGACATATGGCGCTGAAACGTGGACATTGACCGTAGGTCTGGTCCGCTAGTTCAAAGTCGCTCAGCGTGCTATGGAAAGGTGTATGCTCGGAGTTTCTTTGATGGATCGAGTCAGAAATAAGGAAATCCGTCAAAGAACCAAAGTAACCGACATAGCCCTAAAGATTAGCAAGCTGATATGGCAATGGGCCGGACATACGTGTCTCAGAACTGATGGCCGTTGGAGCAGACGCGTTTTGGACTGGAGACCACGTGCCGATAAGCGCAGCGTTGGGCATCCCCTTGCCTGTTGGACCGATGACTTGCGGTGATATGCTGGGAAAGATTGGATGTGGAAGGCGGAAGATCGTTAATTGTGGCGGACTATGGGAGAAGGTCTACATCCAGCAGTGGAGAGATACAGACTGATGATGATATACCTTTTGTAATGGATGCACATTATCTAAGAAATGTAATGGATAGTTTGTTTTTTTAATCGCACTCCTCTAAGCGTATTAAATATATATATAGAACATTTTTAACGGGGAGTAGTAAGTAAGTTTTTACTGGTGGTAGGACCTCTTGTGAGTCCGCGTGGGTAGGTACCACCACCCTGTCTGTTTCTGTCGTGAAGCAGTAATGCGTTTCGGTTTGAAGGGTGGGGCAGCCGTTGTAACTATACTTGAGACCTTAAAACTTATATCTCAAGGTGGGTGGCGCATTTACGTTGTAGATATCTATGGGCTCCAGTAACCACTTAACACCAGGTGGGGGCTGTGAGATCGTCTACTCATCTAAGTAATAAAAAAATAAAAACACTTTCATGATCCACTTTTATGTAACACACTAGTGTAACAAAAAACCTAACAAAATATTCGTAAGTGCTGAAACTTGTAATGAGATTCCTCCAACGCCTGTACAATACCCGCGAGTACAATTTTAGCTGTGCGGTGTCTGGGATAACACTACCCTGCATCTTCCCGTGGGTGTCGTAAATACGACTAAGATATATCATTATACAAGCGCACTATCACAAACCAGCGCTTAGTGGTAGCCTAGTCAAGCTTATTTCTGCTGTACTATACAAATAAGACTTAAACCTGATGTCTCAAGCTGGGTGACGTCACCAACAGCGACTCAGCTGTGACCCTGGCTTTGCTGACGTCTATGCAACGGTACGCACTTACCATCAGATAGACCGTATATCTGCCTACAAAGGCAATTGAAAAAGCTCACGCTGTGATATAATTATGTAGGCTTCGAAATAGTGTACAGTTGAGGTCATTCACGTGTCTAAGGAAAATAAAACATTGTACCGTCATCCATTCAGCAATATTATTCTCCTACTGTTCTCCCAGTCACATGGGGTCGCCGCAATATGTTTTCTCTTTCCATACTCCTCTATCATAAATAATTTCTTCGTTCACACGCAATCTTTCAAATTCGTCACGCAATCCATCGATTTTTTCTTAGGTCTACCTCTTCCTCTAAACCCTTCCAAATTCATAGTTAAAACTTACTGTCATTTCGTCTCATCACATGTCCATAACATCCCAAACGCGCGTTTCTCAACTTCTCTGTCACAGGTGCCACTTTCAGACTTCCTCGAACATATTCATTCCGTATTCTATCCATTCCATCCAGCAATATGTAAGTTAATTTTCTTGCCCACACAACAACAAACCTCCACGATCAAAGATGTTCTCAAACAAATATTTACGTTTGGAATGTTTGTTTGTTACGACTCTCCACTCGGAACAGATGGCTGCCTTCGCTCTGTTGTCGTGCAATTAATTATTTTCGGCTTGTCTATTAAAGTTACGAGATTACTTCTTGAATTTAGATTGAGTAACGGCAATTGTATTATGAAGTTCTAGAAGAATTTAGATGGTACATGTGGAATTAGTTCAACGTAGGTAAATAACAGTTCTTTTCGGAAAAGTAACATTTAATATAATAACACACCTCGTAAAATGTTCACTTTTTTTTTTCACTTTTTAAATTAATTTATTTATTTTATTTATTTGTTTATTTATTACTAATATAGAAGTAGAAACACAAGCATAATGTGCATCTGTGCTTGAACTAGGTGATAAAACCTGTTAATACCAGGCGGGCTGTGAGCTCGTCCACCCATATAAGCAATAAAAAAATAAAAAAATCTCAAGCAGCATTAACAATATCCGATCGCTATCTTAATCATCTCTCCTCCGTCCCTTTCTTCCCCATACATTTGTCCCTTTCACTCTAAACGTTCCGTTTCCCACATACATTTTAGTTTTTTTTTTTCAAACTCAATAGATTAAAAAAACTGCAGTTTGCTTGAGTTTCTAAAATTCAAAAGATCAAAATTTGGTAATTTATCATTTTGGAAGCTTTTCCTAAACGCATTGTTAATGATTCTTACCAGAATCCATAGAGACACATTCAATCTCAATTTAAAGTGCTTGCAATTTACAAGACGTATAGATACTTGACGGCAGAAATAGAAGGGACAGGCATGGAGGTACCATCTTAAAGCCACATTGGACATGCACAACTAAATGCATAGACTTAAGAACAATATTATATTTGATATCGCTCGCGTATTTTTTGTAACACGTATCGAATTTTTTTAGTTTGAAGTCGTCGTGGCCTAAAGGGTAAGACGTCCGGTGCATTCATGTTGAGCGATGCACCGGTGTTCGAATCCCAGGCGGGTACCAATTTTTCTAATAAAATATGTACTCAACAAATGTTCACGATTGACTTCCGCGGTGAAGGAATAACATCGTGTAATAAAAATCAAACCCG